AATGCCATTTAAAAATCTTGAAAAATGTAACCTTGAGAAATTTTATTTACTTGTTCAAAAATGTATGTAGCATTCCATTTAAAAAAATAGTGAAAGTATAAAAAAATAATATGCCGTTGTATTNTTATTTTAAAAAGAAACAGTACTATTTTTTCCTGAACATTATATATTTTCACTGTTTACGAAATTTGAATAGTGGGTGTTTAAATACTTTTGCAAGTCACTGTAAATAAAGTTGATATTTGCAATGTAGTTTTTACGAATTCCTAACAATTATAGTAAATGGAAAGAAAATTATGTACTATTTCTATTGTATTTTCCAATGTTCATTAGTACAAATAGATTTACTTTTCAGATTTGGTCTTAGTAATTGTTTTGAATCGGGGTTTCCAAATGAGCTGGTATCACGCGTTGCCCCAGAAGAATTCAAAGCAACTGTTATGAGAATAAACAGTGTGTTGAAAAAAACTTTACCCGTTAATGTTAAGTGGTTATTTTGTGGCTGTGTCTGCTGTTGTTGTACATTAGGTTGTTCTCTTTGGCCTGTCATCTGTTTAAGTAAAAGAGTAAGTATTCAACCATTGTTAAAACTACTGATCTTATTTTTTACATATTTTCTACATTTATTCTGTAGAAATCATTCTCAGACTAGAAGTCTTCTTCTTTCGAAGAAACAATAGTGATGCTGTTTTTTTAAATTTGTATATCTTTATACAGACACAGCACTCGTTAAACAAATTATTAGAATGGGAAAACAGTAGACTATATCATAAACTTGGATTACATTGGAGGCTGGCAAAACAAAGATGTGATACGTCGTCTATGATGGAATATGTAAGTAAATGTAGAAAAAAGATTAGCTACATGACACTCTAAATAATTTAGCGTACGTTTGTATAATATACAATTTAAATAATAATTAAATATAAATAATTCTCAACATAATTCTCAATTTAAATATTTTAATATATTCAACACCATATTAAAATATATGAGCTCCTACTGTTTATAGTTACATCATTATCAAAGCTACTATATATGTATTGATTCTTGCTTACATATAAGCAGCACACTTACTTGTTTTCACTTTCCAGGTTCTATTAATTGAATTTATTCCAAAAATACCCATATACAAACCTGACTAAAGTCAAGATCTGGATTCTTATGTAAGTTGTACACATGTAGCAAATCAGTGCAAGTCTGTGACATGCAAAAGCTGTACACTTCTGGCTTAAAGTGAAATGAAAGAATACCACTATAGATAGCACTTGCAGGAGGCATATTTTTGTAAATATTACGTGTAGGATTGCACAGTACAATAATTTGAACGAGATTCGAATGTTGAGTATACTAATCTACATTAGTTTTATCTCTTAAAAATCATCTAATTGACTAAGTATAAAAATGCAGGCAATTTTCGTTTAGTTTCTATCAAATGGAATTTACTTTGTTTCCTGTTATTGCTGCATTCAAAACTGAAGATATTCAATACTTACTCTGTTGCTCTGGAAAAGTCAAAAAAACAGGATCATGTACATGTTAAAAATACTGCTTGACGTTTAGTTTGCTAGTCATTAATACATAATTGTCTTGAACATCTTTGTTAATACTTTCCCAAAATACACACTTTTCGATCAGTACACTTTCGATATAATTAAGAAACAAAATTTTAAAAAGAATTAAAT